GTGAGTGGTTATTTCCTGTTAGAGTCAATGGATCCGCAAAGAAAATGACTCGGGCTGGGATGATGGTGGCCATAACGAACAATAATGGTGTGTTGATGACGTTGAGTAATAACACTTGATTTTCTTTCTGTTTTCAGAGAATCGAATGGCGGTCGGCCGGGCCTCACAGAGACCTGTGTCTGCTCAAGGGCAAGGGCGAGGTAAGAACCACACAACTCTTGAATCTATACTAGTATTTAGGCTGTTTCTTAAAAGAAGGTTTAATTATTTTGAAAACGAAATACCCCTTGGGGAGCTGGGTGCACAAAGTGCATTCCGCATTGGTGCGGATAGGGCAAAAGGGGAGGCAGAACCGACATCAAAAGTACAGGTAGATCAACAACAGAAGCAGCAACAGCAGCAGGAGGGACAAACAGGGACAATGGCTTAGAAGGAACAGTGGGCCACTGGGCCACGTCCCGGCCGGGCCAAACAGGGGTGGTCATGCTCTGTCCTTGTTGCACTCGGACAATGCCCCGGCCCGGCAGGTGACTCCGCGAAGCGTTGTGCCGCGGCCTCGCCTTTATACCGAGAGGGATTTTCTACCTTCCTGCGCGGCGTTTGGCTCGCTCGCTCGCTCGGGTGGAGGAAAGCGAGACAGAACAAAAATAAAACAGCCCTCACATACGGCGTGTCGGGGAGTCTGTGTGCGTTGCGTGGTAAGATGCGGTCTTCTATGCTTGTCCCGCCCCGCTCCGGCTCAAAGGCACCTTGCTCATTCAAGTGGCCCGTTTACTCGTATTACCGAAAGAGAGAGAGAGAAAAAGATTGGGGGAAGAAACGTCCGATGACTTTCCCATTGCCTGCCTCCGGGCACCGGCTGCCTTGACTGACACGGCTGGCGCCGAGGGTGGCGCGTGCTGTTTTCTGCCGCACATTTCCGGTGCTTCGGCCGCGGCTGTTTTCTGGTCCCGTTTTGTGTGACGGCGACAGGATGTGGCCTGGAAGCTCCTCTGAGAGTTGCAGCAGCTTTGCGCACTTCATTTGCTTTTTAGACAGTCCCCTAAAGACTGTC